AGGTTTTTTTATATGCAATAAATTACCTCAGGTTTTTAAAAAATAATAATATTATACAATTAATTATTACCTCTTGTTTTTAAAAATATGCAATAAATTACCTCAGGTTTTTTAAAAGAAAAATATTATACAATTGAATATTACCTCAGGTTTTTTTTTTTAATATGCAATAAATTACCTCAGGTTTTTTTAAAAGAAAAAAAGAGAAAAAAATATTACCTCAGGTTTTTTTTTTAAAGAAAAATTACAATAAATTATTACACTATGGGAACCTCATTTGCCAGTAAAAATATGATAACTGGTTTTTTACCCTTCTATCTGGCAACAAAACTGACACCTTTTTACAAGGAGTCATGTTTGCATAGACCGCAATACCTGCAGTCATAATGCAAACAAAAAACACAACTCTGATAATGTGCACTGTCCTTGAAGTTGATTGGTCCACACCCGAGACAGCTTTCCTTAGAGCCTAGTCTCACATGGTGTTGGACCAGATGACGCCAAAAGGCGCACAACTCAAAGACAATGCACCATCAGAGTATGAGAGCTCGGAGTAAGCATTTACACCATTGGAACCTCATTTGCCAGTAAAAATATGATAATTGGTTTTTTATCCTTCTATCTGGCAACAAAACTGACACCTTTTTACAAGGAGTCATGTTTGCATTGACCACAATACCTGCAGTCGTAATGCAAACAAAAAACACAACTCTGATAATGTATGTGCACTGTCCTTGAAGTTGATTGGTCCACACCCGAGACAGCTTTCCTTAGAGCCTAGTCTCACATGGTGTTGGACCAGATCTGGTCCAACCCATGTGAGACTAGGCTCTAAGATATCTTCCGAGATAGGAAGACGTCTTCCGAAACTAGAAGACTTCTTCCGAAATAGGAAGACTTCTTCCGAAACTGGAAGATATCTTCCGAAGCTGGAAGATATCTTCCGAAATAGGAAGTTGTTTTCTGAAACTAGGAGACTTCTTCCGAAACTGGAAGATATCTTCCGAGATAGGAAGTCATCTTCCGAAACTGGAAGATATCTTCCAAAACTGGAAGATATCTTCCGAAGCTGGAAGATATCTTCCGAAATAGGAAGTCGTCTTCCGAAACTAGAAGACTTCTTCCGAAACTAGAAGATATCTTCCGAGATAGGAAGACGTCTTCCGAAACTAGAAGACTTCTTCCGAAATAGGAAGACTTCTTCCGAAACTGGAAGATATCTTCCGAAACTGGAAGATATTATCCGAGATAGGAATAACGTCTTCCGAAACTAGAAGACTTCTTCCGAAGCTGGAAGATATCTTCCAAAAATGGAAGACGTCTTCCGAAACTAGAAGACTTCTTCCGAAACTGGAAGATATCTTCCGAAATAGGAAGACGTCTTCCGAAGCTGGAAGATATCTTCCAAAAATGGAAGACGTCTTCTGAAACTGGAAGACATCTTCCGGAAGATTACAATCAAAACACGCGTTGCCTCCTACGTCACGAGGCCACGTCACACGATCCGGGTCAGACGGTACCATCACCCCAGTTGTGAGGGGGGGGGGGGGTTGGTTTTATTTAATATCTTAATCCAACTATATTTAAACATAATAAAAAAAATATAAAAGCATACGATAATTAATAAAAAAATAAAAAAATAACGTGTGTTAGTTGTGCTTATAATTTGATCTTTTAAAATAAACATTCTTTATAAAAAATACGCGTGCCAATGGTATTACACCCCTACCCACTACCACCCGCTAATGGTTTAGCCCAAAGTACAGTGAGCGTCTCACGAATTTTAAAGTTGCGAAGATCTTCGCTGGTACAGTTCGCTTTGATTTGCCACTACAATTGCATTAACAAGTTTAAAAAATAACTTTAAACCTTTACGAGTTAACAGACGCGTCAAGTTCGACCCGAGTTCGCGTTTTAAATGTCTAATGCTCAACATAGGAGCGGTGTTTTGAACTGTTTTTGAACGTCTTCTTGGTTCTTTCGGTAAAGTCGTCACGTAGAATGGAAATAATAAAATAATAAAGATTAAAATAATAAAATAATTCTCACTAGAGATTGATTTTATTATAATGATGTTTTATTTTTATTAGATGATGATGATAAAATCTTGTCTTCTTGGGTTCTTTCGGTGAAGTCACGTAGAAGGGAAATAATAAAATAATAAAAATAAAACATTTAATTATTCTCACGACGTTTCGGCCATAACGCAAGCAGCCGTCTTCAGGTGAAGAACAGGTCTGTCGGGGAGACAGCGTCTGAATGAAACACCACCAGGCTTGGCAGCGTATATATAAGCTGGGTTGGAAGGGGGTAGAGCGCCTTGACAAAAGAATTTGCATAGCAACGAGGAATTTAGCATATTTATGGGAAATGCAGATATGGGATTAGTCACTACTTGTGTAATGCGTAGGAGGTTTGGCGGGGGGTTTAAAGTCATATTATGCCCGTGCATTATGCAGGATTAGCAGCATCAAAGGGAAGGGACATGGGAAATGCAGGTATGTGATTAGTACTACTCATGCCCGTGCATTATGCAGGATTAGCAGCATCAAAGGGAAGGGATATGGGAAATGCAGGTATGTGATTAGTACTACTCATGCCCGTGCATTATGCAGGATTAGCCAGCATCAAAGGGAAGGGATATGGGAAATGCAGGATATGTGATTAGTACTACTCATGCCCGTGCATTATGCAGGATTAGCAGCAACAAATGGAGGGGATAGTGGTAGCATTAACAAAGGGAAGGAGTGTTAATAGTGTGTAGCTGCAGTAACTAAAACCACCACGTAAACAACTAAAGTATAAACTACAGTAGTATCATCATTGAACGCTTGTTCAATGTGTAGGTGCTGGTAGCCACCCACCCCCTCGTGTGCCACAGCGCCGGTAGCCTTCATAGGTGCTGCTGCTACTTGCTAACAGCACCCAGCCCCTCCCTCCCCACCCAGCCCCTCCCTCCCCACCCAGCCCCTCCCTGCACGATGGACGGACACAATAATCCCCTGTGATGGTGCGTTGTCTTTGAGTTGTGCGCCTTTTGGCGTCATCTGGTCCAACACCATGTGAGACTAGGCTCTAAGGAAAGCTGTCTCGGGTGTGGACCAATCAACTTCAAGGATAGTACATATCATTATCAGAGTTGTGTTTTTTGTTTGCATTACGACCGCAGGTATTGTGGTCTATGCAAACATGACTCCTTGTAAAAAAGGTGTCAGTTTTGTTGCCAGATAGAAGGGTAAAAAAACAATTATCATATTTTCTACTGGCAAATGAGGTTCCAATGGTGTAAATGCTTCACCCCGAGCTCTCATACTGTGATGGTGCATTGTCTTTGAGTTGTGCGCCTTTTGGCGTCATCTGGTCCAACACCATGTGAGACTAGGCTCTAAGAAAAGCTGTCTCGGGTGTGGACCAATCAACTTCAAGGACAGTGCACACTCATTATCAGAGTTATGTTTTTTGTTTGTATTATGACTGCAGGTATTGCGGTCTATGCAAACATGACTCCTCGTAAAAAGGTGTCAGTTTTGTTGCCAGATAGAAGGGTAAACAACCAATTATCAAACTAATTTCTGTAGAACTGCCTCTTGTTGTGTTTAGTTAATCGTCCTACTCCCCGTGCCTCCGCTTAGCACGGTTGGTGCGAAAACAGTTCAACGCGTGTGCACAACGCACGGTACATCATCGCGCGTGCAAATTCATTGCCTGAACCCGAATGCTTTCACCGCAATCCCGGATCTTTAGACCGGAGGAATCCAATGAGCTACCAAGTGAATTTTACCGCACAGCTGCCCAGAGCACCGTTCAAAAGTACATCACCGCTTTGTCCCGTCCTCATTTTAGGCGCTCCGAGTTGCTTCAACTACCGAGCGACTTTTCGAGCGTCACGTGCGGTGCCTTCGAGGACAGAATCAACGTCAACGCTGCTGCCGCTGCAACTCCGGTCAACTCGAGGGCGACAGCTCACCATGCACCCGCTCGCCCACCCGCTCACCCACACGCTCACCCACCCGCTCACCCACCCGCTCGCCCACCCGCTCGCCCACACGCTCACCCGCTCGCTCACCTACGCGCACCAACGATGCGCCTCCCACACCGGGTTAAAACAAAAACAACTTGAACTTTGACCTCGCCCGCTCACCTATCATCTCACTCACCCGCTCACCCACCATCTCACCCATTCACCCATCCAGCCACCTACTCACCCACCCACTGACCAACCCACCATCTCACCCACCCACTCACTCACCCACCATCTCACCCACCATCTCACCCATTCACCCATCCAGCCACCTACTCACCCACCCACTGACCAACCCACCATCTCACCCACCCACTCACTCACCCACCATCTCACCCACCATCTCACCCATTCACCCATCCAGCCACCCACTTACTCACCCACCATCTCACCCACTCACCCACTCACCCACTTACTCACTCAACCACTCACTCACCATCTCACTCACGCACTCACTCACCCACCATCTCACCCACCATCTCACTCACTCACTCACCCACTCACCCACTCACTCACTCAACCACTCACTCACCATCTCACTCACGCACTCACTCACCCACCATCTCACCCACCATCTCACTCACTCACCCACTCACCCACTCATTCACTCAACCACTCACTCACCATCTCACTCACGCACTCACTCACCCACCATCTCACCCACTCACCCACCCACTCACCCACCCACTCACTCAACCACTCACTCACCCACTCACCCACCCACCCACCCACTCACCCACTCAACCACTCACTCATCCACCCACCCACGCACTCACCCACCCACTCACTCACCCACTCACTCACCCACTCACTCACCCACCATCTCACTCACTCACCCACTCACCCACTCATTCACTCAACCACTCACCATCTCACTCACGCACTCACCCACCATCTCACCCACTCACCCACTCACCCACCCACTCACCCACCCACTCACCCACCCACTCACTCACCCACCCACCCACCCACCCACCCACCATTTCACCCACCATTTCACCCACCCACCATCTCAACCACCTACCATCTCACCATCCCACTCACCCACCACCACCACCACCACACCACCACCACAGCGATGCCACCACCACCGCCCCCGTGGTGCCGCCGCGTTGTCCGCGTGTCTCGCCGCTGCCTCGTCACGGCGCTCGCCCTTCCCCTCCTCCTTGCCGCCGTGTGGCTCACCCTCACCTCCACCTCCTCCTCCACCACCTCCTCCACCTCCTCCTCCTCGTCGTCGGCGCTGTCGTCGTTCCTGCTGGCGCTGAGCGGCCACCACCACCACGGCCACCACCACGGCCGCGGCCGGGAGTCTGACCCGGGCCCCGTCTGGTCTGTGGCGAGGGGGCGCGCGGCCGGATTTGCCATCCGAGGCCACCGGCCCTCCATGGAAGACCGCTTCACCATCGGCTCGCGCGTCTACGGCACGCCCGGCGGCTACGGTGGTGGCGGCTACGGTGGTGGCGGCTACGGTGGTGGCGGCTACGGTGCAGGAGGAGATTACGGCGAAGATGACGGTGACGGCGGTGGTGGACGAGGAAGTGATGAGGACGATGGCCGTGACGATGAGGAGGACGATGAGGACATGAACAGCACCCACAGGATCTACGGCCTCTTTGACGGCCACGGGGGAGAGGTGTGTACGTGCGTGTGTGTGTGTCTGTGGGGCTGTGTGTGTGTCTGTGTGTGTGTGTCTGTGTGTGTGTGTCTGTGTGTGTGTGTCTGTGTGTGTGTGTGTGTCTGTGTGTGGGGCTGTGTCTGGGGCTGTGTGTGTCTGTGTGTGTGTCTGTGTGTGTGTGTGTGTCTGTGTGTCATCTCGGTCAGTCGACCCATGGCACCTGCTGGGTCTGCCCCGTGACCTCCTGCCAGCGGGCGTTCGACACTTCACGTGGCCTCAAGGTGCACTTGGCCTGGCACAAGCGTCGTGACGTCACCGCCACTTAGTGGCGAATGGCGGTTGTTGTTGTTGTGTCAGTGTGTGTGTGTCTGTGTATGTGTGTGCGTCTGTGTGTGTGTCTGTGTTAATCCGGCAAAACAACCTCCTACCTCCTCGCGGTGCCGGACGGGCAACACTGTCGTGGACATTGCTGTGGGGGGAGGGCCAATGCCCATTGGCCTCTCCCCTCATGGCGTCTGTGACCACCACAGTGGCTAAACGGGGGCTCTGGACGGGTGTGAGGGGCTGGTAACCCCTCCACCTTCAATTCATTACCACTAAACCACGAATTAAACATAAACCTGTAACAAATAAGCTTGTGCCGGAGGCCCCGGGGGGTCAGGCTTTTATGACGTCTCCTGGCCAAACCCCATTTGGCGGAGCCAGGAGATTGAATTTTCACCCTCGGGGCTCCTCCAGAAACAACAAAAAACCATTGCGGATGGCCACGTGGAATGTTCGAACGCTCACTGCGGAGGAGAGGCTGCCACTCCTCTGTCGGGAGCTGGACCGGTACCGCCTGGATCTCTGTGGCATTCAGGAGGTCCGGTGGACCGGTTCTGGCTCCTGCCACCATGAGGGGTGGACAGTCCTCTACTCGGGGCAGGAGACTGCCAAACAACAGGGTGTGGCTCTTCTTCTGAACAAAAGAATGAAGGGGGCGTGGGAGCGTGGCGGTGAGGTGTGGGAAGCTGTAAGCCCCAGGATACTTTGGGCTCGCCTTCCCATCAACCAGAGGCGAGGAGTGGTGGTCGTGGTTACTTATGCCCCCACCGAAGACGAACATCCGTGGAGGGATGCAAGCAAAGCCGATGAGTCAGACGCTTTCTATGACCTCCTGTCACAGGTGCTGGCTAAAGTGGCCACTCGGGACAGAGTCATCTTGTTGGGTGACTTCAATGCCCGAGTTGGTCATGATGCTGACACCTGGTCTGGAGTGATTGGAAGGCATGGGCCAGATCAGCTCAATAATAACGGTAGGAGGCTGCTAGATTTTTGTGCAGCCCATGGGCTTGTAATTACCAACACGCTCTTCCGGCATCGGCGCATCCACACAACATCATGGATACATGCCGGGTCCAAGCAAGAACATCTGCTGGACTACATAGTGACGGACCAGCGGATGCGAACCCATGTCCTTGACACCAGGACCTACCGTGGAGCTGATCTGTCCTCTGACCATCGACTAGTCATCTGTAAGATGCGCCTGCCTTTCTTCCACTCCGGTGGTGGGTGTACACCCAGGATCCCATTCCAACCAAAAGTGGCCTGGTCTCAGTTAGCTGATGAAAGTTGCAAGCGAGAATTTCATCATCGCTTGCAGCTGGGGTTGGCATCGTCCCCCACTCCACCTGATGTCGAGGGTAAATGGGCGAGGTTTAAGACTGTGACTCATGCAGCTGCAATGGCTGCTTTGGGTACGCGGTCCAGACCTCCCCAGAAACCCTGGCTGACAGAGGAGGTGTTCAGGTTAATTGAGAAAAAGCGACAGGCCCACTCTCATCGCCTACAGCATCCCACGTCAGAGAATGAGGAGGTTTACCGCAGCCTTCGCTCGGAAGTTCGGAGAGCCGTAAGGCGTTGTAAGGATGGGTGGTGGTCGCGGGTTGCTGAGGAGATGGAGTCTGCCTCAGTGGCCCGTGATCACAAATCACTATTTAACTCCATCAAAAAAGTAACCTGCAGCGCCACACCTATTACCATCATTAGAGGAAAAAACGGTGATCCAATCTCCGACCCCCAGGAACAGGTTTGCAGATTTTCTGAGCATTTCTGTGAGGTCCTGGGGGAGGGAAATTCTCTCAGCCAGGAAAACATCATGGCACAAAGTGGGGATAACCCTGCTGAGGCTGCGGTGCCTCAAATATTGGAAGAGGTCACCCCCTGTGAGTGGCTGGCTGAGGTTCCAGCTGTTGAGGAAGTACTGAGGGCGATCCGGAGTCTGAGACCAGGGAAGGCACCGGGCAGAGATGATCTCCCAAGCGAAATGCTGAGGGAGGGTGGCGTTTGTGCACAGACTGCCCTATATGACATCATAACAACAGTCTGGACCACTGGACGGGTTCCGCAGGACTGGAAGGATGCCCTGGTGGTCCCCCTCTTTAAGAAGGGGGACCGCACAGACTGTAACAACTACAGGGGCATCTCACTCCTCAGTGTGCCGGGTAAGGTCCTGGCAAGGATTATTCAACATCGCCTTGCTAGGCACGCTGAGGAGGGGCTTGCGGAGCCCCAATGCGGTTTCAGGAAAGGGCGGTCCTGCACAGATGCCATATTTTCTGTCCGTCTGCTACAGCAGAGGTGTAGGGAATTCCAAAAAGACCTACATCTCTGCTTTATTGACCTGGTCAAGGCCTATGATACCATCAGTAGGACTGGACTCTGGGTTGTTCTTCGTGCTTTCGGAGTCCCTGACCCTCTGCTCACGATCATTAAGGACCTTCATGATGGTGAGCGGGCCCGGGTAAAACTACGTGGCCGGGAGTCGGAGCCTTTCCCTGTACACCTTGGGGTGCGACAGGGATGTCCTCTGGCTCCCACATTATTTAACATCTATTTTGACCGCGTAGTTCGTGAAGCCTTCAATAGCTGTACCGGGGGAATTTCCGTTTGGTACAGATATAATGGGAGGCTGATCGACGCCCGGGTGCGATCAAGGGATGGCTCCCTATTGGTCAACCACGTTATGTATGCCGATGATTTGGTAATAGCTGCTCATTCAGAAGAGGAGTTGGAGGCGCTGCTGCTGAGACTGGAGCGTGCCACTAAGAGGTGGGGCCTTACCATCAGCCCCACCAAAACCAAGCACCTGCCTGGGTATTTTGTACCATCGGACACTCCACCCCCACAACTCCCAATTGGTGATGGGGCAGTTGTGGAGAGAGTGGAGAGTTTCCCATACCTGGGCAGTATGCTTATGACCGGCTCCAGTCTATCAGCAGAGGTCTCACTCCGAATCAGTCGAGCGGCAATATCTTTTCATCGGTTGCGTAACGCTGTGTGGAAGCTACCTGGTCTGTCGCTCCGCACGAAGCTTCAGGTCTTCTCGGCCACGGTCATTCCCTCCCTTCTCTACGCTTGCGAGACGTGGACCCCCCTGGTGGAGCATCTTCGCCGGTTGGAAACATTTAGGCTGGCCTGCCTACGATCCATCCTGGGTTTAACCAGGCTGGATTGTGTGAGGAGCTCACAAATCCTTGAAAGATCTGGGCAAAGTCCCATCAGTGAGCTCCTCCGGCAGGCAAGGCTGCGTTGGCTGGGTCATGTAGCCCGCATGCCCAGCCACCGCATGCCTAAACAGCTTTTGTTCGGCCGGATCGAGGGGGCTAGACGGGCGCGGCACGGGCTGGAGAAGAGATGGAGTGATGTGGTACAGGAGGACGTGGAGCTGAGTGGACTTGCCGATGACTGGTACCAGCGGTGTCAAGATCGGCCTCAGTGGAGGAGGCTCGTGAAGGACGCTACTGGGCAGTTGGAGGCAGTCGCCCTCCAACAACAACGGAGGGCGGAGGAGCGACGCTCACAACAACGAGCGGAGCGCCGGGTGGCTAAAGCACAGCAAGTTGGCACAGTAGGGGGCACAGGTGGTGCATCAGCCAGTCATCTCGGTCATCTCGGTCAGTCGACCAGTGGCACCTGGGTCTGCCCCGTGACCTCCTGCCAGCGGGCTTTCGACACTTCACGTGGCCTCAAGGTGCACTTGGCCTGGCACAAGCATCGTGGTGACGTCACCGCCACTTAGTGGCGAATGGCGGTTGTTGTTGTTGTTGTTGTGTCTGTGTGTGTGTGTGTCTGTGTGTCTGTGTGTGTGTGTCTATCTGTGGGGCCGTGTGTCTGTGTGTCTGTGTGTCTGTGTGTGTGTCAGTGTGTGTCTGTGGGGCCGTGTGTGTGTGTCTGTCTGTGGGGCCGTGTGTGTGTGTCTGTGTGTGTGTGTTTATGTGTGTGTGTTTGTGTGTCTGTGTGTGTGTGTCTGTGTGTGTGTGTGTGTCTGTGTGTGTCTGTGTGTGAAGATGAACCCCTGCAGTCACCAAAGCTTTCAATCGAAAAAGCTTCTTACTTATCATCACTATTCTATTTTTGTTCCATTCTCCCCTTCCCCGCACGCCCCGTCTCAGGCCGCGGTCGACTTCGTGTCGCGGACGTTGCCGCGGAGGCTGCGGGCGACTCTGGCGTCGTCCCCGCCGGGCCGGCAGGACGACGGGGCGGCGCTGCGGGCGCTGGTGGCGCGAGAGATCCTCGCCACGGACGAGGCCTTGCTGCGTCACCTGGACGACATCGGCGGGGACGAGTCTGGTGAAGGCTGTCAACCACCACGCGCCACGCTCACCCTCACACGCTCGCTCACCCACACGCGCTCACCCTCACACGCTCACCACACACGTTCACCAACACGCTCTCAACACACACACCACGCTCGCTCACCCTCACGCTCACCCTCACGCTCTCAACACACACGCACTCACTCGCTCACCACACGCTCGCTCACCCAGACACACGCTCACCCCCCTCACCCACCCCGCTCGCCGACTCCGCTCACCCACCCCGCTCACCCACCCCACTCACCCACCCCCCTCACCACCGCCCCCCCCGCTCACCCACCCCCCTCACCACCGCCCCCCCCCCCCCACTCACCCACCCCACTCACCCACCCCCCTCACCACCCATCCCACTCACCCACCCCGCTCACCCACCCACCTCACCACCGCCCCCCCCGCTCACCCACCCCCCTCACCACCGCCCCCCCCCCCCCGCTCACCCACCCCACTCACCCACCCCGCTCACCCACCCCGCTCACCTACCCACCCCCCTCACTCACCACCCCCTCACCCACCCCCCTCACCCACCTCACTCACCCACCCCGCTCACCCACCCCCCTCACCTGCCCCACTCACCACCCACCCCCGCTCACCCACCCACCTCACCACCGCCCCCCCCCCCCGCTCACCCACCCCACTCACCCACCCCGCTCACCCACCCCGCTCACCCACCCACCCCCCTCACTCACCACCCCCTCACCCACTCCGCTCACCCACCTCACTCACCCACCCCGCTCACCACCGCCCCCCCCCCCCCCCCGCTCACCACAGGGTCGACGTGTGTGCTGGCGGTGGTGAGCGGCGACTCGCTCACCGTGGCGAGTGTGGGAGACTCGAGGGCCGTGGTGAGCGACGGGGATGGCCGTGCGGTGCCGCTCACCACGGAGCACAAGCCGTACCTCCCCGCTGAGCGCAGACGCATACAGCGCGCCGGTGAGCGTGAGGGTGAGCGTGAGTGGGTGGGTGGGTGAGTGTGAGTGGGTGAGTGAGTGTGAGTGGGTGAGTGAGTGGGTGAGTGGGTGGGTGGGTGAGTGGGTGAGTGAGTGAGTGAGTGGGTGAGTGAGTGGGTGAGTGGGTGAGTGAGTGGGTGAGTGGGTGTGAGTGGGTGAGTGGGTGAGCATAGTGAGTGGGTGAGTGAGTGGGTGAGTGGGTGGGTGGGTGAGTGAGTGAGTGAGTGTGAGTGAGTGAGTGGGTGAGTGAGTGGGTGGATGAGTGGGTGAGTGAGTGGGTGAGTGACTGGTGAGTGGTGTGAGCGTGAGTGAGTGAGTGAGTGTGAGTGAGTGAGTGGGTGAGTGAGTATGAATGAGAGTGAGTGAGTTAGTGTGAGTGAATGAGTGAGTGGGTGAGTGAGTGAGTGGGTGGGTGGGTGAGTGAGTGAGTGAGTGTGAGTGAGTGAGTCAGTGGGTGAGTGAGTGGGTGAGTGTGAGTGGGTGAGTGTGAGTGGGTGAGTGAGTGGGTGAGTGAGTGGGTGAGAGAGTGTGAGTGAGAGTGAGTGAGTTAGTGTGAGTGAATGAGTGAGTGGGTGAGTGAGTGAGTGGGTGGGTGGCTGAGTGAGTGAGTGGCTGAGTGAGTGAGTGGGTGAGTGAGTGGGTGTGAGTGGGTGAGTGGGTGGGTGAGTGGGTGAGTGAGAGTGAGTGAGTGAGTGAGTGAGTGGGTGTGAGTGGGTGAGTGAGTGGGTGAGTGAGTGAGTGAGTGTGTGAGTGGGTGAGTGAGTGAGTGTGTGAGTGGGTGAGTGAGTGGGTAGGTGAACGTGAGTGGGTGAGTGAGTGTGAGTGGGTGGGTGAGTGAGTGTGAGTGGGTGAGTGAGTGAGTGAGTGTGAGTGAGTGGGTGAATGAGTGAGTGGGTGAGTGAGTGTGAGTTGGTGAGTGAGTGAGTGGGTGAGTGAGTGAGTGAGTGTTAATGGTGGGTGAGTGGGTGAGTGGGTGAGTGAGTGAGTGAGTGTGGGTGAGTGAGTGTGAATGGCAGGTGAGTGAGTGTGAGTAGGTGAGTGAGTGTGGGTGAGTGAGTGAGTGTGAGTGGGTGAGTGTGAGTTGGTAAATGGGTGAGTGAGTGTGGGTGAGTGAGCGTGAGTGGGTGAGTGAGTGTGAGTGAGCGTGAGTGGGTGAGTGAGTGAGTGAGTGTGAGTGGGTGGGTGCGTGAGTGAGTGGGTGAGTGAGTGAGTGAGTGTGAGTGGGTGAGTGAGTGAGTGTGAGTGAGTGAGTGTGAGTGGGTGAGTGTGAGTGGGTGAGTGAGTGAGTGGGTGAGTGAGTGGGTGAGTGAGTGGGTGAATGAGTGAGTGTGAGTGAGTGGGTGGGTGGGTGGGTGCGTGAGTGAGTGGTGTGAGTGAGTGAGTGAGTGAGTGTGTGAGTGGGTGAGTGAGTGGGTAGGTGAACGTGAGTGGGTGAGTGAGTGTGAGTGGGTGGGTGAGTGAGTGTGAGTGGGTGAGTGAGTGAGTGAGTGAGTGTGAGTGTGGGTGAGTGAGTGGGTGAATGAGTGAGTGGGTGAGTGAGTGTGAGTGGGTGAGTGAGTGAGTGGGTGAGTGAGTGAGTGAGTGTGAATGGTGGGTGAGTGGGTGAGTGGGTGAGTGAGTGAGTGAGTGTGGGTGAGTGAGTGTGAATGGCAGGTGAGTGAGTGTGAGTAGGTGAGTGAGTGTGGGTGAGTGAGTGAGTGAGTGTGAGTGGGTGAGTGTGAGTTGGTAAATGGGTGAGTGAGTGTGGGTGAGTGAGCGTGAGTGGGTGAGTGAGTGTGAGTGAGCGTGAGTGGGTGAGTGAGTGAGTGAGTGTGAGTGGGTGGGTGCGTGAGTGAGTGGGTGAGTGAGTGAGTGAGTGTGGGTGAGTGAGTGTGAATGGCAGGTGAGTGAGTGTGAGTAGGTGAGTGAGTGTGGGTGAGTGAGTGAGTGTGAGTGGGTGAGTGTGAGTTGGTAAATGGGTGAGTGAGTGTGGGTGAGTGAGCGTGAGTGGGTGAGTGAGTGTGAGTGAGCGTGAGTGGGTGAGGTGAGTGAGTGAGTGTGAGTGGGTGGGTGCGTGAGTGAGTGGGTGAGTGAGTGAGTGAGTGTGAGTGGGTGAGTGAGTGAGTGTGAGTGAGTGAGTGTGAGTGGGTGAGTGTGAGTGGGTGAGTGAGTGAGTGGGTGATTGAGTGGGTGAGTGAGTGGGTGAATTAGTGAGTGGGTGCGTGAGTGAGTGGTGTGAGTGGGTGAGTGAGTGGGGTAGGTGAACGTGAGTGGGTGAGTGAGTGTGAGTGGGTGGGTGAGTGAGTGTGAGTGGGTGAGTGAGTGTGAGTGGGTGGGTGAGTGAGTGTGAGTGGGTGAGTGAGTGAGTGATGTGAGTGTGGGATGAGTGAGTGGGTGAATGAGTGAGTGGGTGAGTGAGTGTGAGTGGGTGAGTGAGTGAGTGGTGAGTGAGTGAGTGAGTGTGAATGGTGGGTGAGTGGGTGGTGAGTGAGTGAGTGAGTGTGGGTGAGTGAGTGTGAATGGCAGGTGAGTGAGTGTGAGTAGGTGAGTGTGGGTGAGTGAGTGAGTGTGAGTGGGTGAGTGTGAGTTGGTAAATGGGTGAGTGAGTGTGGGTGAGTGAGCGTGAGTGGGTGAGTGAGTGTGAGTGAGCGTGAGTGGGTGAGTGAGTGTGAGTGAGCGTGAGTGGGTGAGTGAGTGAGTGAGTGTGAGTGGGTGGGTGCGTGAGTGAGTGGGTGAGTGAGTGAGTGTGAGTGGGTGAGTGAGTGAGTGAGTGGGTGAGTGAGTGAGTGTGAGTGGGTGAGTGAGTGAGTGTGAGTGGGTGCGTGAGTGAGTGGGTGAGTGAGTGAGTGAGTGTGAGTGGGTGAGTGAGTGAGTGTGAGTGAGTGAGTGTGAGTGGGTGAGTGTGAGTGGGTGAGTGAGTGAGTGGGTGAGTGAGTGGGTGAGTGAGTGGGGTGAATGAGTGAGTGTGAGTGAGTGGGTGGGTGGGTGCGTGAGTGAGTGGTGTGAGTGAGTGAGTGAGTGAGTGTGTGAGTGGGTGAGTGAGTGGGTAGGTGAACGTGAGTGGGTGAGTGAGTGTGAGTGGGTGGGTGAGTGAGTGTGAGTGGGGTGAGTGAGTGAGTGAGTGTGAGTGTGGGTGAGTGAGTGGGTGAATGAGTGAGTGGGTGAGTGAGTGTGAGTGGGTGTAGTGAGTGAGTGGGGTGAGTGAGTGAGTGAGTGTGAATGGTGGGTGAGTGGGTGAGTGGGTGAGTGAGTGAGTGAGTGTGGTGGAGTGAGGTGAATGGCAGGTGAGTGAGTGTGAGTAGGTGAGTGAGTGTGGGTGAGTGAGTGAGTGAGTGTGAGTGGGGTGAGTGTGAGTTGGAAATGGGTGAGTGAGTGTGGGTGAGTGAGCGTGAGTGGGTGAGTGAGTGTGAGTGAGCGTGAGTGGGTGAGTGAGTGAGTGAGTGTGAGTGGGTGGGTGCGTGAGTGAGTGGGTGAGTGAGTGAGTGAGTGTGGGTGAGTGAGTGTGAATGGCAGGTGAGTGAGTGTGAGTAGGTGAGTGAGTGTGGGTGAGTGAGTGAGTGTGAGTGGGTGAGTGTGAGTTGGTAAATGGGTGAGTGAGTGTGGGTGAGTGAGCGTGAGTGGGTGAGTGAGTGTGAGTGAGCGTGAGTGGGTGAGTGAGTGAGTGAGTGTGAGTGGGTGGGTGCGTGAGTGAGTGGGAGTGAGTGAGTGAGTGAGTGTGAGTGGGTGAGTGAGTGAGTGTGAGTGAGTGAGTGTGAGTGGGTGAGTGTGAGTGGGTGAGTGAGTGAGTGGGTGATTGAGTGGGTGAGTGAGTGGGTGAATTAGTGAGTGGGTGCGTGAGTGAGTGGTGTGAGTGGGTGAGTGAGTGGGTAGGTGAACGTGAGTGGGTGAGTGAGTGTGAGTGGGTGGGTGAGTGTGAGTGGGTGGGTGAGTGAGTGTGAGTGGGTGAGTGAGTGAGTGAGTGAGTGTGAGTGTGGTGTGAGTGAGTGGGTGAATGAGTGAGTGGGTGAGTGAGTGTGAGTGGGTGAGTGGAGTGAGTGGGTGAGTGAGGGAGTGAGTGTGATGGTGGGTGAGTGGGTGAGTGAGTGAGTGAGTGAGTGTGGGTGAGTGAGTGTGAATGGCAGGTGAGTGAGTGTGAGTAGGTGAGTGTGGGTGAGTGAGTGAGTGTGAGTGGTGAGTGTGAGTTGGTAAATGGGTGAGTGAGTGTGGGTGAGTGAGCGTGAGTGGGTGAGTGAGTGTGAGTGAGCGTGAGTGGGTGAGTGAGTGTGAGTGAGCGTGAGTGGGTGAGTGAGTGAGTGAGTGTGAGTGGGTGGGTGCGTGAGTGAGTGGGTGAGTGAGTGAGTGTGAGTGGTGAGTGAGTGAGTGGTGAGTGAGTGAGTGTGAGTGGGTGAGTGAGTCAGTGTGAGTGGGTGAGTGTGAGTGGGTGAGTGTGAGTGGGTGAGTGAGTGAGTGGGTGAGTGAGTGGGTGAGTGAGTGGGTGATGATGGGTGAATAGTGAGTGTGAGTGAGTGAGTGGGTGGGTGGGTGCGTGAGTGAGTGGTGTGAGTGAGTGAGTGTGAGTGGGTGAGTGAGTGTGAGTGGTTGAGTGAGTTAGTGTGAGTGGATGAGTGAGTGTGCGTGGGTGAGTGAGTGAGTGAGTGTGAGTGGGTGAGTGAGTGTGAGTGGGTGAGTGAGTGAGTGTGAGTGGGTGAGTGAGTGTGAGTGGGTGAGTGAGTTAGTGTGAGTGGGTGAGTGAGTGTGAGTGGGTGAGTGAGTGAGTGAGTTAGTGTGAGTGGATGAGTGAGTGTGAGTGGGTGAGTGAGTTAGTATGAGTGGGTGAGTGAGTGTGAGTGGGTGAGTGAGTTAGTGTGAGTGGGTGAGTGAGTGTGAGTGGGTGAGTGAGTGAGTGTGAATGGTGGGTGAGTGAGTGTGAGTGGGTGAGTGAGTTAGTGTGAGTGGGTGAGTGTGAGTGGGTGAGGGTGAGCGTAATGAGTAAGTGAGCGTGAGTGGGTGAGTGAGCGTGAGTGGGTGAGTGAGCGTGAGTGGGTGATTGAGTGTGAGTGAGTGAGCGTGAGTGAGTGTGAGTGAGTGAGTGTGAGTGGGTGAGTGATGATGAGAGAGAGACACGCAAACTCCAAACATACAGCAGCAGGCGTCGTCAGGGTCGGGAGCGAACCCACGACCTCCTGCGTACCAGGCGAGGTAGTCAACACGTAGCAGGAGGTAGTCTTTCATGGCCAATATCCATCATGTTGTGTCGTTGAACCCGCCACCACCCAACACAGCCGATCGGGAAGGGAGTTTGGGTCACGTAAACAGAACGTGCCCAATCCGTAGCTCGTACAGCGCACACACACACCTCTTGCTGTGTGCTGGAGAGTTAAACCCGCGGCTGCAACATTTACAATTCCAGTAGCCGTGACGTGCCGCCAGTAGCGATGTAGTAGCAGGTGTAGGGGAACCTTTTTAAATCCTTTATATTAAGTTCGCTTGCTTGCTTACGACCGTGCAAATCTTTCGGTCGTTTTTTAACCCACTTCCCGTGATCCAATCGAGCTGACATTTTGCACACAGACTCGTTGTGCGTGACAATTAATGTTCGTGAAAAGAAATTTCCAAAATTTTACACTTTTTAGAAATTTTTTTTTTTCATATTTAATTTAAAATACCAATGTGATAAAAATGAAACTCTTACTCAAGAAAAACAGAAATGAATAATAAAATAAAACCGATGCCACGCATATAAAGGATTTATAGTGAAAAACTTTGTTTTTACGAGTTAAGTTTTTAAATTCTTTATATTAAGTTCACTTGCTTGCTTGCGCGCTTACGACCGTGCAAATCTTTCGGTTGTTTTTTACCCCACTTCCCGTGATCCAATCAAGCTGACATTTTCCACACAGACTCGTTGTGCGTGACAATTAATGTTCGTGAAAAAAATTCCAAAATTATACACTTTTTAGGACAAAAATATTATATTTAATTACCAATTGCTTAATGGTGGCAGGCAATCATCCGACCCATAGGTGGCAGCCATCTCAAGCCAGAGGACGAGAGGACTCTGGCCGCCACGCATATAAAGGATTTAGAGTGAAAAACTTTGTTTTTACGGGTTATACTTGTTCTCTGCCAAGGGCCATTTGGATATGTGCCGCACCACCTCTACATAACAAAAGGCTCAGTCCCATTTACACGCACCTTTACATCAGCCGCACCCAGTCTAGACAACAAAGGCGGGTTTCACGACACATTTTATATTCACGACATGAAAGCCTCAACAAATAAAAACCCCTCCACCGTGGATAGTGAACCACACCTCCAAACCCCCCACACCCCCCCAACCCCCACCCTCCCGCCCCCCCAACCCCCCCCCACTAACCCCACCCTCCTGCCCCCCTAATCCCCCCACCAGCCTAACCCCCCCCCCACTAGCCTAACCCCCCCCCACCAACTCAACCCCCCCACCAACCCAACCCCCCCACCCTCCTGCCCCCCTAACCCCCCCCACCAGCCTAACCCCCCCCACCAACCCAACCCCCACCAGCCTAACCCCTCCCCACCAACCCAACCCCCCCACCAACCCAACCCCCCCACCCTCCTGCCCCCCTAACCCCCCCCACCAGCCTAACCCCCCCCACCAACCCAACCCCACCAGCCTAACCCCCCCACCAACCCAACCCCCTCACCCCCCCCCACTCCCCCCTCACTTCCCCCCCCCGTGCCTGGCGACTTCACCCGCTTGAGCAACGTTTGTTGGATAGTTCACCTCCACCGCACGCTCACCCCTCCCACCCCCACCCTGTGCCCCCCCACCCCCCCCACCTCCCCCCCCACCCCCACCACCCCCCCCTCCCCCCCACCACCCCCACCCCCCCCCGTGCCAGGCGGCTTCATCCGCCTGAGTGGCGTGTGGCGTGTGCAGGGCGAACTGGCGATGTCGCGGGCTCTGGGCGACGCTCGTCTCAAGCGCCTCGGGGTGATCACGGCGCGTGCCGACGTGGCCACCGTGGCCCTGGGAGGCCCACCGGGGGGGCCACCGGGAGGCCCACCGGGAGGCCCACCGGGAGGCCCACCGGGAGGGCCGCCGCTCTTTCTGTTGCTCGCATCCGACGGCCTCTGGGACGCCGTGAGCAGCCAGGAGGCGGTGGACCTGGCGCGGAGACACGCCGGCGGGCCGCTGATGGGCGCCGGGAGGCTGGCGGCCGAGGCCTTCCGCAGGGGCAGCCGGGACAACGTGGCCGTGCTGGTGGTGAGGGTGGACCGGGGCGGCCGAGATTGAAGGGCGGGGCAGGGGGGGGGGTCAATCGGGGGGCTACCCACGGAGGGAGTTCGGTGGACGGTCGGCGACCTTCGGAAGCGTCTAAGTGAAGGTGGTTTTTGGGGTTGAGAGGTCATCCCGATGTTGTAGATTGGCACCCCGGTACCCCCCCCCACCCCCCCTCTCGACCCCCTGACCCCACCGGGGTTCACGGGGCAGGAGGGTCAACCGGGAGGCTACTCACGGAGGAGGTTCGATGGACGGTCGGCGACCTTCGGAACTGCCGAGGTGAAGGTGATTTTTGGGGTCGAGAGGTCATCCCGATGTTGTGGATTCACACCCCGTTCCCCCCCCCCCTCTGCCCCACGCCGGGGTTCACGGGGAGGGGTCATCCGGGGGGATGGACGGACCGCTGAGCGGGACACGGGCCAATCGGCGACATCCGGAACGGCCGAGGGTCAGGGTGGGATCAGGGTCAAGAGGTCATCGCGATATTGTGGTTGTTCATCACTTGCACGCACGTGATGATGCACGTCATCACACAGAGACCCATAGACTCATCACACAGAGACCCATAGACTCATCACACAGAGACCCACAGACTCATCACACAGAAACCCATAGACTCGTCACACAGAGACCCATAGACTCATCACACAGAGACCCATAGACTCATCACGCAGAGACCCATAGACTCGTCACACATAGACCCATAGACTCATCACACAGAGACCCATAGACTCATCACGCAGAGACCCATAGACTCATCACACAGAGACCCATAGACTCATCACACAGAGACCCACAGACTCATCACACAGAGACCCACAGACTCATCACACAGAGACCCACAGACTCATCACACAGAGACCCATAGACTCGTCACACAGAGACCCACAGACTCATCACACAGAGACCCACAGACTCATGACACAGAGACCCACAGACTCATCATAGACTCATCACACAGAGACCCATAGACTCATCATAGACTCATCACACAGAGACGCCGGTCGTTTAAAAGTGGTTTTGGTGTTGTTTGTATTGTTTTAATGATTGTCAATAATACGCTATACACTACACTATACAATACATTACACTATACACTACACTACACTATACACTACACTACACACTACACTACACTACATACTACACTATACACTACACTACTATACACTACACTACTATACACTATACTACTACACTATTATACACTATACTAGTACACTACTATACACTACACTACTATACACTATACACTACACTACTATACACTACACACTACACTATGCACTACACTACCATACACTATACACTACACTATACACTATATACTACACTACTATACACTACACTATACACTACACTACACACTATACTACTATACACTACACTATACACTACACTATACACTACACTACTATACACTACACTATACACTACACTATACACTACACTACTATACACTACACTATACACTACACCAGTGGTTCTTAACCTGCGGTGCATCACGCCCTGGGGGTGCATGAAGCCCTCTCTGGAGGCGAGCGAGACTTTGCCCGGATTTTTTTCGACGGTGAATCATCAAAAACACGAATTAACCCACGGGCTGCACGTCACGTTACGACTTTGTTCCATCAAACCCTGCGTAAGTTATTAAGATTGTTGAAAAATATATAACGAGTGAGAAACCAAAGGGGTGCAAAGGCTGCAGTACAGGGTAAGAGCCACCGGTTTATATTGTTGTTATTGTTGTTGATGTTGATGAGCACGTGCAAAACAAAACAAAAAAACTCTGTGTATTTGGGCCTCCCGCAGAGGTCGAAACCGGGTACCCGATACCCGTACCCTACCCGATACCCAGCTACCCGTACCCAGCCGGGTACGGGTACCCGTTTGCGACCCTCGTGCGGCCGGGTACGGGTAGGCCGTGAGTCACTGGTGAGTCACCGTTTGTCACTCATTTCCCAACGTCTTGTCTCTTCTCACAATTCAAGTTCCTAGAATCAACCCACCCGCGCCTGCAACATGGCTTCATCCCAGAGGTCGCAATCGGGTACCCGATACCCGTACCATACCCGATACCCGGCCGAGTACGGGTAGGGTACGGGTATGGCCGGGTACGGGTACCCAATTGCGACCCTGGTGCGGCCGGGTATGGGTACGGGTAAGGAATCAAAACCCGTTTGCGACCTCTGACCTCCCGTGAGACGCTTTTCAGCTCAGGCTGAAGGGTTCTCATGCACCGGACGGACAGACGTACGGACGGACGGACGGACGTCCATCTGTAACGTGGTGGGGGAGATATACTCTTAGTTTTTTCGGTAAAGTCACGTGGGTAAAAAATGTAATTCAAATTAATAACAGTAAAATAATAAAAATCACGACGTTTCGGAGGCAACACAAGTCTTCGTCATCAGGTGGGACCATCACAGCCAGATTTGCTGTATCAAGTGAGGCAAAAATTCCAAATTCAGATTCCAAAGAACACAGGATGAGATGTTACTATCCTTTGTGCAAGCACTTCCACGAGTTCACGAACAGTGAGCCTGGTGAAATTTGGGGAGCGCATCGTCAGTAGTGACCCTTTGGTTCCTAGGGTGTTTCGGCCTTTCATACTATACACCCTCCCCAAAGGCGGCCAGCGACAGGGTGATCAATCCTACGCTTGCGTCCCATTCCCAATTAGTCATAGGAGTTGCCTTGTTGTTGGTAGCCAACATCCCAAGATACAAGTTCTTAAATACAAGTTAAGGGGGAGGAGGGGGGGTGGAGCTTGTCAGAATGTGGTAGCCAATGAATGGAACGTATTGGGAGGGGGGGGGCTAAAAGAGAGCACGAGGTGTACGTGGTGGGGGGAGGGTCACGGTGGCTCTCGTAAAGTCGATCCGATAAGATTGAAACTCCATTGGAACCTCATTTGCCAGTAAAAAATATGATAATTGTTTTTTTACCCTTCTATCTGGCAACAAAACTGACACCTTTTTTACGAGGAGTCATGTTTGCATAGACCACAATACCTGTGTGCATACATTATCAGAGTTGTGTTTTTTGTTTGCATTACGACTGCAGGTATTGTGGTCTATGCAAACATGAGTCCTTGTAAAAAGGTGTCAGTTTTGTTGCCAGATAGAAGGGTAAAAAAACAATTATCAAGATTGAAACTCTCGCAGGAAGTTGTGTCGCTGACGGGGACTTGCCGCTGGAGGAGGCCGGACGCGTTGACCGCAGGGTTAATGCGTGAGCTCCAGAGGTCGCAAACGGGTTTTGATTCCTTACCCGTACCCGGCCGCACCAGGGTCGCAAACGGGTACCCGTACCCGGCCGGGTACGGGTACCCGTTCCCTACCCGTACCCTACCCGAAATGAGTGACAAACGATGACTCACCAGTGACTCACGGTCTACCCGTACCCTACCCGAAATGAGTGACAAACGGTTACTCACCAGTGACTCACGGTCTACCCGTACCCTACCCGAAATGAGTGACAAACGGTTACTCACCAGTGACTCACGGTCTACCCGTACCCGTACCCTACCCGAAATGAGTGACAAACGGTTACTCACCAGTGACTCACGGCCTACCCGTACCCGTACCCTACCCGAAATGAGTGACAAACGATGACTCACCAGTGACGGTCTACCCGTACCCTACCCGAAATGAGTGACAAACGGTTACTCACCAGTGACTCACGGCCTACCCGTACCCTACCCGAAATGAGTGACAAACGGTGACTCACCAGTGACTCACGGCCTACCCGTACCCGGCCGCACCAGGGTCGCAAACGGGTACCCGTACCCGGCCGGGGACGGGTAGCCGGGTATCGGGTAGGGTACGGGTATCGGGTACCCGGTTGCGACCTCTGGTGAGCTCCGTGTGGCCCGTCTTCTGTAACCTTGTGGGTTGTCTTCACGATGGCTGTCGTAGAGTCGATCCGATAAGATTCTGTAACTCTCGCGGGAAGTCGTGTCGCCGTTAGAGACTCGCGTGAGCTCCGCGTGTCTCGTCCGTGCAATGCTGTGGAGGGTCGGGAGGTTCACGGTGGCTCTCGTAGAGTTGATCAGAGATATGAGCGCAACTCCAGCGGGAAGTTGAGTTACTAATTTCGTCCAATCACAGGCAGAGTTACAACCAGGAAGTGACCGATGACTAAGCCTCACCGTGACTCGTTCCGACCAATCACAGGCAGAGTTACAACCAGGAAGTGACTGATGACAAAGCCTCACCGTGACTCATTTCGTCCAGTCACAGGCAGAGTTACAACCAGGAAGTGACTAATGACTAAGCCTCACCGTGACCCGTTTCGTCCAATCACAGGCAGAGTTACAACCAGGAAGTGGCTGATGACTAAGCCTCACCGTGACTCATTCCGTCCAATCACAGGCAGAGTTACAACCAGGAAGTGGCTGATAACTAAGCCTCACCGTGACTCGTTCCGTCCAATCACAGGCAGAGTTACAACCAGGAAGTGACTGATGACTAAGCCTCACCGTGACTCGTTCCATCCAATCACAGACAGAGTTACAACCAGGAAGTGGCTGATGACTAAGCTTCACCGTGACCCGTTCCGTCCAATCACAGGCAGAGTTACAACCAGGAAGTGACTGATGACTAAGCCTCACCGTGACTCATTCCGTCCAATCACAGGCAGAGTTACAACCAGGAAGTGACTGATGACTAAGCCTCACCGTGACCCGTTTCGTCCAATCACAGGCAGAGTTACAACCAGGAAGTGACTGATGACGAAGCCTCACCGTGACTCGTTACGTCCAATCACAGGCAGAGTTACAACCAGGAAGTGATTGATGACTAAGCCTCACCGTGACTCGTTGCGTCCAATCACAGGCAGAGTTACAACCAGGAAGTGATGACGAAGCCTCACCGTGACTCGTTACGTCCAATCACAGGCAGAGTTACAACCAGGAAGTGATTGATGACTAAGCCTCACCGTGACTCATTCCGTCCAATCACAGGCAGAGTTACAACCAGGAAGTGACCGATGACTAAGCCTCACCGTGACTCGTTTCGACCAATCACAGGCAGAGTTACAACCAGGAAGTGGCTGATGACGAAGCCTTACCGTGACTCGTTACGTCCAATCACAGGCAGAGTTACAACCAGGAAGTGATTGATGACTAAGCCTCACCGTGACTCGTTACGTCCAATCACAGGCAGAGTTACAACCAGGAAGTGGCTGATGACTAAGCCTCACCATGACTCGTTCCGTCCAATCACAGGCAGAGTTACAACCAGGAAGTGGCTGATGACTAAGCCTCACCATGACTCGTTCCGTCCAATCACAGGCAGAGTTACAACCAGGAAGTGACCGATGACTAAGCCTCACCGTGACACGTTCCGTCCAATCACAGGCAGAGTTACAACCAGGAAGTGACTGATGACTAAGCCTCACCGTGACTCATTCTGTCCAATCACAGACAGAGTTACAACCAGGAAGTGACTGATAACTAAGCGTCACCGTGACCCGTTCCGTCCAATCACAGACAGAGTTACAACCAGGAAGTGACTGATGACTAAGTCTCACCGTGACTCGTTCCGTCCAATCACAGACAGAGTTACAACCAGTAAGTGACGGATGACTAAGCTACACCGTGACTCATTTCGTCCAATCACAGGCAGAGTTACAACCAGGAAGTGGCTGATGACTAAGCCTCACCGTGACTCGTTCCGTCCAATCACAGGCAGAGTTACAACCAGGAAGTGACTGATGACTAAGCCTCACCGTGACCCGTTTCGTCCAATCACAGGCAGAGTTACAACCAGGAAGTGGCTGATGACTAAGCCTCACCGTGACTCGTTCCGTCCAATCACAGGCAGAGTTACAACCAGGAAGTGGCTGATGACTAAGCCTCACCGTGACCCGTTTCGTCCAATCACAGGCAGAGTTACAACCAGGAAGTGGCTGATGACTAAGCCTCACCGTGACTCATTCCGTCCAATCACAGGCAGAGTTACAACCAGGAAGTAGCTGATGACTAAGCCTCACCGTGACCCATTTCATCCAATCACAGGCAGAGTTACAACCAGGAAGTAGCTGATGACTCAGCCTCACCGTGACCCGTTTCATCCAATCACAGGCAGAGTTACAACCAGGAAGTGACTTATGACTAAGCCTCACCGTGACCCGTTTCGTCCAATCACAGGCAGAGTTACAACCAGGAAGTGACTGGTGACTAAGCCTCACCGTGACTCGTTTCGTCCAATCACAGGCAGAGTTACAACCAGGAAGTGACTGATGACTAAGCCTCACCGTGACTCGTTCCGACCAATCACAGGCAGAGTTACAACCAGGAAGTGACTGATGACTAAGCCTCACCGTGACCCGTTTCGTCCAATCACAGGCAAAGTTACAACCAGGAAGTGACTGATGACTAAGCCTCACCGTGACCCGTTTCGTCCAATCACAGGCAGAGTTACAACCAGGAAGTGACTGATGACTAAGCCTCACCGTGACTCGTTCCGTCCAATCACAGACAGAGTTACAACCAGGAAGTGATACTAAGCCTCACCGTGACCCGTTTCGTCCAATCACAGACAGAGTTACAACCAGGAAGTGACTGATGACTAAGCCTCACCGTGACTCATTCCGTCCAATCACAGGCAGA